ACAGATGAACAGGAAAAATGAAAAATGGTCAGAGAGAATAGAAAATGCCCTTGTCTCCTGGCTGTCCCAAGGGAAAAAGAGGAATTAGGAACAGCCATTGTCTGCTCCCAATGGTGGTGTCATGCACCGCTGATATCCGACTTGCTTTCTTCCCAAAATGCAGCCCCTCTCTCCAAGGAATCCCTGTGCACAAATGTTTCCACAAGGTCTCCTGACAGGACCCGAATCCCTCATTGGGTAAGAGGCAGCCTGAGCCTGGATCCTGTCATGTAGGCCTCAAAGCATTGGTGAAGACTGTGAAAATTGTACTTGAAACAAGAGCAAGAGGGCGGCTCACATACTGCACATACACTGCAATCATTGTTTACAGTCACAAGTTTGTTAGCACACTGCCACAAGTCAATGTAGCAACAAAGAGATCACTTTCAAAATCCAAGGCTTGGCCAGCACCTCACCAGGCCATAACGTTCCCTTCCCAGTTCAGGAAGGTCCCGCTGTCCTTCTCAGAGAGCTTGGAGAGCACCTTCAGCATCCCTCCTACGCTCTCATCCACTGTCACTCGGGACTGCAGGGGCAGAGGGAGAAAAATGGCTGTGTGCCCAAGGGCCCAGCCGATCCAGGAGCCTTCAATACACAGGGAGCTCCACATTCCCACTATAAGGGATTCTTGCAAACCTTGGCCAGAAACGCTCTTACCTTATCTTCTAATGTGCCTCCTATGTCTGTTTTGACCCAGCCGGGATGGAGAGCAACACAGAGGATGCCATGGTCCCGGTACCCCATGGACTGGCACCTGGTGAGCATGTTGAGAGCAGCCTGAGGGAGGCAGCACAGGGATCAGGTGGGGATGAGAAGGTGCAGCACAGGGACCCCACAGTGGTCTTCCCATGCAGATGCCCAGTCCCAAAAAGGATCTGTATTGACATGGCCCTTTGTGGTTGAGCCTGGGGCCAGGCGTGGGAGTGTGTTATGAGGGGGAACCAGCGACTGACAGCACCTTGCTGCAACGATATGAGAGCGCTTGTCCGTACTGCCACAGATAGAGGTCCTGAATGGATCCAGCAGTGCTGGACATGTTGATGATGGCTGCCTTGCTGCAGCTCAACCCTGAGCCCGGCTTCTCTTGGGCTGCCTTCTTCAGAAGAGGCAGGAACGCCTGTGGAGAAGGGAGAAGTGAAGGTCTGGATGATGGCAAGGTGAACATGAGGCAGCAGATGGCCTGGAGCCAAAAGGGCTGACTGTGTCCTGGGATGCCTCAGGCACAGCCCTGCTGATGGGCGAGGGGAGAACTCACCTCGAGCACTGGGTTGGGTGCCACAGTGTAAGAAGGACATAGAACTATAACTGAGCACCCAAAGGAGGGCTGTGAGATGGGGAGGGGTCTGAGGGCACTGTGCAAGGAGAGCTAAGGGCACTGGGTCTGCTCAGCACAGAGCAGAGGAGGATGAGGGGAGGTCTCATGGCAGCTGCAGCCCCTTGTGGCCTACAGCCCCTCATGACCTATGGCATACAACTCCTCACAGGGAGCAGAGGGGCAGAGCTCTTGGGACAGCAACAGGACCCAAAAAACAGCATGGAGCTGCGAAAGGGGAATGTTGGGTAGGGATTAGGGAAAGGTTCTGCACCAGAGGATGGTGGGCATGGCACAGCTCTCCAGGGCAGTGCGCATGGCCCTGAGCTGCTGGAGCTCTGGGAGAGCTGGGGCACTATCGGCCATAGGGTTTGACTTTCAGGTGGAGCCAGGGGTTGGAGCTGATGATTCCCATGGGTCTTCTTCAAATTTGGGATTCTGATAATTCTATAATTCCTTCCACAGCAGCAGTGTTGGCACCAGCCCCACTGGCAGCTGCCTTCCTCTTCCTCCTGCTCCAGATTCCAGCTCCTCAGCACCTGATCCACAACTTTTCAGAGCATCTCAGGAGCACCACGCGTGACATCAGCACAAGAGCAGAGCAGGGCTCCGTCCCACGGGCCCCTTACTTTTTCCACTGGGGAAATGCAGAGACACAGAGCAGAATGTTCCCAGGGTAGGAGAGCACATTACCTGGCTGAGCAGCAGAGGTGCAATGGTGTTGGTAGTGAACACATGGAGCATGTCGTCTAGTGTCTCAGTGTCAAGTGAGTTGTTATTTCCTATCCCAGCGTTGTTGATGAGGAGGTTCAGCCCCGAGCCCTTGAGGCG